TTTGTCATTTCCAGACTTACTGCATTTCAAGCAAGGTCTGACCAAAGATGTATCAAAGTAGAACAGCTACTCTGCACCCACTTGCCCTTTTTTTGGACTTTGTGTTCCTGTTAATTCACTCAAAAATAAAATTTGCCTTTTTTTAGCAACTACATCATATGCTGGCTCATGTATAGTATGGTTGATAGACTTCTGGGTAGATATATCACTTGCATGGGTGCTACTGCCAACCCCCCATCTTCTAATTAGGCCTACCCTTTTTCCTATGTACATGTATAACCTCTTCATTTCTTGCTGTTAAATTTCACCCCATTCTTTTCGATCTGTAGTTCAGATCTTTTTAAATCCCCCCTTCCATAAAATACTTCGTCTTTTTCTTTTTTCCCCCATCTCCTATTTTCTTATCCAGTCTCACAAGTTCCTGGCTTATTGCTGCTTCTGGTTTCCTGTGTACAAACATTAGCTGGAAGCCTTATTGGCAGATAACAGCAACAACAACAACAACAACAAAAAAAAGGAAAGCAGGCTTGAATATAGTTGTAGGTTTCATGATCACAAGGTAGGCAAATTGATATCAGAAATAGCATTAAAGCAGAATATTCTTATCATGGCTGTTCATTGGCTGAAATGCCATTTTGACTTGATTAAAAATATAGCTCACTTTCATAACTTTATAATGACTTCTTCTCTATGGTAACAGCCTAGCACAGAACAAAATGAACCTAGAACATTGAGCTGGATGATTGATGGCACCTAACTTGGTTTTGGATTGTGACCATATACTCATCATTTTGAAAAAGGAAAAAAAAAACCACTCATATATTCTTTTATTTCACTTCAGATTGTTATCAACAGATGTGGCCTGGAAGGATGATAATATGGGTTCATGAGGTACCATTTTATAGGGAGTTTGTTAATTAAATGATCCCCATGTATCTCTACTATATTGGTTTTAATCTGAGATCCTTACAAAATTTATTATCAAAGGCTCTGTTTTGGGGGACCCAACAGACATTTGATTATTATTTTTAAAATATAGGGAACATAGTATACCACAACCATGTCTAATATTGCTTTATGACTGTCTCTAGTAATAAAGTTTAGCTTGTGAAATCTGGTCAAATTATTTATGCAGTATTTTAAGCCTACTTCACATAAATATCCTTCCTTTTCAAAAAGCTGTTTTTAAGTAGGGCCAACTTTGGCTTTGAGGAAGCCCTTATCTAAATATCTTGTGGTGGTTTTCTCGTCCACTGATGAGTCTTGTTGGACTTGCTTAATGGTGATGGGCAACAATTCATTTAGTGGAACTAGGTTTCTTGTTTTAGCAATCCTTATATTCTTGGGACTCTTAACTGTAAAATGCTAATTTTTTGTGGCCTGGTTGCAGCAATTTCTCAATAACTTAGCTGTGTTATGTGGTCAGAGCAAATAACCAGAACAGTCCTAAACCAAGTTACATACATAATTCTTTATGGCAATTTGTTTATTTGTGATATTTATACTCACCATAACCATAAGACATTCCCTTTTTTTAATCGTTTGAATCCTTGCTCATTTCCTGAGGTTAAGAGTCTCTTCTTCTTTTGCTGGATTATTGTGTTGGGGTAACAGAACTATTTTTTGTTGTGTACATGTTGGAATTACTTGACTGCCATCTCTTGGTCTTTTCCCCACTCAAGATGCTAGAAATCATCTAAGTGGAATCTTCATAGGCCAGATACTGGCATCAGTTTCTGGGTCATACATTTCCACTTTACATTCTCTGGCTTGAATTCTTTAATTTTCTTTCCATGTTCTCTGTGGTTTAGCATGGCATCCACCCTAATGCTGACTTGTGTCTCATTTAACTGATATGAGGAAGTCAGCAGTAGAATTGTAAAGCCAGTTTAGTTTATTTCAGGTCTGAATGATACTTACTAGTACAGGGCTTTTCAACCTTTTCACCAATTGTACCACTTTTAGAATATGGCAACATTCGAGTACCATGAGTCACCTAGCAAGGTGTCAAAAACTTGATGACCAAAAAAAAAAAAAAAATGGAAAAAAGTGATAAAATACAGGTAGTCCTTGACTTACAACAGTTTGCTTAGTGACTGTTCAAAGTTACAACGACACTGAAAAAAGTGACTTATGATCATTTTTCACACTTATGACCGTTGCAGGGTCATGTGATTTACATTCGGATGTTTGGCAACCGATTCATATTTATGATGGTCACATTGTTCCAGGGTCATGTGATCCCCTTTTGCAACCTTCTGAGTTAGCGGGGAAACCAGATTCACTTAAGAACCATATTACTAATTTAATCTCTCTCTCCCTCTTTCTTTCTCTCTCTCCCTCTCTCTTTCTCTCTCTCCCTCTCCTATTTCTCTCTCCCTCTCTTTTTCTCTTTCTCCCTCTCTTTCTCCCTCTTTCTCTCTCCCTCTCTTTCTCTCTCTCCCTCCCTCCCTCCCTCTCTTTCTCTCCCTTCCTCTCTCTCCCTCTCTCTTTCTTCCTCTCTTTCTCTCCCTCTTTCTTTCCCTCCCTCCTTCCCTCCCTCCCTCTCTCTCTCCGTTCGGGGATCGATTTGGAGTTGGGGAGGGGAGTGACCGAGGGCTGCCCGTGTGTCCTTGAAGCAGTCACCTCTCCCATCACCCAGGCAGAGCGGGCGATGGGAGAGGAGCGAGCCAATCGCCTTCCTGGCAACTGGGACTCCGACGCATCTTCCCAGCCAGTGGGGCCTACAGTAGCACCGGGATCAGGAGTCCCGCAAGGGGGCAAGCCTGCATGAAGAGCCATGCCCTTTCTGTGGGAGAGGGACACGATGAGGGAGCCAAGCAATCGTGGGACGTAGATTCTGATGGGCAGCTGGCCTGAGCCGAGGCGCCAGCAATCGCCTCGAGCTGCCACCGCAGCCCGATGAGACAGGCAGTGTATAATGGCCAATGAATGCCGGGTGGGGGTGGTGCTTGAGAGGTGGCTACTGAGTGCGACACCACGCAGGAAGAACACCTGACGGCAGCCTACCAGGCAGCGTGTGGGACTAGGATGGCCCGCCGGAGCCTGGTTAGAGCAGCTGGCCGGCGCTCCATTGTGGCCGGCTCTGGCGGGACGGGGATTCCCTGGTGTCACGGAACATGGTTCGGCAACGTCACCGATGGGCAGGGCATCCCGAGGCCGCCAGTGCCTGGTTGAAGCAGCTGGCTGGCGCTCCGTTGTAGCCGGCTTCGGCGGCGGCAGGGATCCTCCACAGCTTGTGGCTTCTGTGGTGCCTAGATTGGTTTCCCACCGTGCGGGCATTGGAATGTTCAATCGGTATCGGAGCTCAGCAAGCCCGGAGCAAGGGAGCAGCCCCCGCCCACAGCAATCCCCTGAGTCACCATCAGATGCCCATCATGGGTGGCTGGCCTGAACCAATGAGGCGCTGGCAATCACCTCGAGCTACCGCTGCCGCGGCCCCATGAGACCACGCTGCGCACGACAGGCAGCGCATAGTGGCCAATGAGTGCCGGGTGGGGGGGGTGTTTGAGGGGTGGCTACTTCAATCGGTATTGGGAGTGGGGAGCGCAGAGCTAAGCTCAGCGAGCCCGGAGCAAGGGAGCAGCCCCCCTGCCCATGGCTGGACCCCGAGTCACTGTTCTGATCAACATCAGCAAAACAAACGGCCTTGATTCCCACCTACTGCTGTGGGATGACTCCTCCAGGAGGGCACACGCTATTTGGCCGCTTTGCTTTCTCCTCCGTAAAGCCGGGCACCTCGGGAAGAGGAGAGGGGGAAAAGACTTGAGCCCCGGGAGGCAACGTGAGGGCCATGAGGGGTATCGCAAGCTCGCGGGAAGGGGGGGAAGAGGAAAAGAAAATGGAAGAGAGTGAGGCTGCAACAGAGAAAGAGAGAGAAGGGGGAAAAGAAGGAGGGGCGCGGTTGTGAGGTTGGCACTCGGCTGCGACACGAGCGGTCTCAAACACCTACCTGCGAGTGGATAGCTCTGTCCACTTCAGGCTCACGCTTGCTTCTGAAGAAGGGGGGCAAGGGCGACATGGATCCTGCACGAGTCTCTGGGGAGGGCGGGGCCTCACTCTGCGCCTGCGCTCCTTGCGTGCCCTCAGTAGGGTTCCTGCAGGCCATTGCCAAGCAGCATGTTTTCAATTTCAACAAGCGAGCTGGGAAGGAGGGGGGTAGGAAGCCGATGCCGCAGGGGGAGGAAGGTGACGCCGCGTACCACCAGCCAGGTGGTCACGTACCACTAGTGGTACGCGTATCACCGGTTGAAAAGCCCTGTATTAGAGGCCACTGTGCATAGAAAACACTTAAATGGGCTATGCTCATCTCTAAAAACAAATTATAAATATATTATTTCATTATAGAAGCAAAAGTATCAGAAAATCCCAAGCAGCCAGATTCTTGGCTTAGAATATTTTCTGAATCTAAATGTCCACAAAGAAATAAACCAAAAACAAGGGATACAAATGTTTTCTTTTTTAAAAAAAATCCACATTTCTGTGCTTGTTAAAGCTAAATCTACCCATTAAAACAACCTAATTAGGTTCAAGTATATGCAGGCATTTTTTTTAGTGTTTTATTTCATTTTTAATATGGAAAGTCATTTAAGATAATGTATACTAGTAAAACACCATTACTGTTATGAAAAGTACCACTTGATGTTTGTTTTTAAATCTTCGATGGTTTTATTCAAAATTCTATCCCTTGTTTAAATGGCAGCTATAAAACTGTTCTTTAAAGAAAAAATAAAAACATTCTATGGTAGATTGACATTTTACTTTTGACATGTACTTTCTCATAGTCTGCTGGGACATATGTGAAAAAACTTAAGAAGCAGCCCAAATCTATGTTCTACTTCCAGTTTACTAATTATATTTATATATTGTATATTTCATAAAATTATGACTTTTTAAGTGTCTATATAAGACAAAAATTGCATATCTATTCATTAACCTCCTCCAGATTTTTTTTTTCTCATAAACAGTGTGCTCTTTATTTTTTCCTTTTATTAATATAGGGATCCTTTAAGAATTCAGCAGCTACAGAACCAAATCCGGCTGGAAAAAGAAGCAGACCAGTGGTGTCATCAGAAGCAAGCTGGTTTCCTCCAGAATCTTCCCTTGTCCCCAACTTTTCTCCCTCTATCTTCATTCCAAGAACTTGAGTCCAGCCATTCTCCTTCTCCTGTGCAAATGAGTATTTTGAATTCTCATTCTGCTCCTGCCATGCAGACATCCAGTTCTTTCAACTATGCCCGTCCTAAACAATTTATTGCTGCACAAAATATTAGCCCTGCTTCAAGCTATGTAACACCATCACCTGGCTCTTCCACATCTAGTCTCCCATCCCCAATGTCTCCAACTGCTTCTGAGAAGCAGTTTGGTAAAACATCTGTCCCCTCTTTCTCTCAGACTTTTGCTCCTGAGGAAGAGTATCCGTGGTCTCCTTCCCCACCTCCTCCCCCTCCCCCTCCCCCTGTTTTTAGTCCTACATCTACTTTTTTAGTGGCAGATTCCTTTCCACTGCCACCACCTCCACCTCCTCTCCCAGCTTCTGTCCCCTCGCCTTCTCACAGTTTTTCTCCAACACCCAGATTATCCAGCTCTAGTCAGTCTCCAGCAGCCTTCCTCAGCTCCATGCTACCATCTCAGCCACCTCCAATTTCGGTTAATGCACTAGGACTTCCCAAAAGTGTTACACCACCGTAAGTATGAACATTTGATGAACTTCTCAAAAAATAGTTTTTTATTTATTTATTCTTAATTTTGATAGGCATGAATTCATTGTATGTACAGTGAGGGGGGGGGAAATTATTTGATCCCCTGCTGATTTTGTACATTTGCCTACTGACAAAGAAATGATCAATCTATAATTTTAACAATAGGTTTATTTTAACTTATTTCACTCATTAAAATACAAATCATTTATAACTTTTTTGAAATGTGTTTTTCTGGATTTTTTTGTTGTTATTCTGTCTCTCACTGTTAAACCTACCATTAAAATTATAGACATCATTTCTTTGTCAGTGAGCAAATGTACAAAATCAGCAGGGGATCAAATATTTTCCCCTCACTGTACAAAATCTAAATAACTATATTTTTTACTGTAGAAGAATGAGAAATGTTTTTCATAACTTTTTATTAGGAAAATTCTGTTGTTTGTTTGATTTACAACATTGATAAAAATTGATACTTTTCTGATTTTATCTCATTTTCCATTATGCAAAATGTAATAGTCAAGGTTTCTAATAATTTAATATTCTGTATCTTGTGCATCAGGAATCTATATGCAAGTTTCATTTGAAGGGGACAGAAATGTTTATTATTGCGAACTGAGCCCTTTGATGATGAATAATTCAGCCTCATTCCTTGAAACCCCCTTTTTCAAAAAGTCCTTACATATATGATAAACTAACTGGAATACTATGCCATATATAAATTATTTTCAGTACAAATCCTTTGGCAGAATAGATCTACATAGAAACATTTACCTTAGTTTGTTGTATTTCTCTACTGCTAAAGTTATTCCTAAATCTATCTCCCATATTTCCCTATCACCTTAAAGATCCTCATGTTATACATTGACTAACATTTTATGACTTATTCATGTTAAGATGATTTTGGTTTTTAGGTTACTTCATTTTAATTATTTGAAATTTATTTAAATTCTTTTTTAATTAAAAGAGAGCAAGAAAAGTAATTCCTTGCAGTATAACCAAAAAGGTCTCTTCTCTCTTACAAAAGTCCTCAGTTGTTTTTTAAAAAAAACAAAACAAAACTCTGTTTACTTCCATTTATTCTGTGGTCTTCTCCATATTACTATTAAGATTCAAAAATAAAATATTAGTCTACCCTATACATATCTAATCTATCAATCAATCAGTCTCTTTTAGATAACAAGATAATATCAAACCTTAAATCATTTCAGTCAATTGGACAAGATTCAAATTTCATCCAGTTAATTATCATACCTAATAACATCTATATTATCAGACAAAAACATCATCTTACTAAATTAACATACTCGATTAATTATTGAGTCAATCCAGATCTAAAACGCCTCTTCAATTTTCTTCATTCCATTACATAGTAGTTTTCATACAAGTAACCTATTATTCCCAAAAATACATTCATAATTTATTTAAGATACATATTCTAATAATCACCCATTTTTCTCTTACTTCTAACTCTAAATCTTAATCCTTAAATCAGTCCATAATTCTACAGTGCCTTTGATCCATTATATATAATTTTAAATTTCTCTTTTCAGTCTTATTCTGGCCTTCTTTTTGTGCCAGGCAGGTTTTCATAACAAAGCTTCTGTCACAAGAGCTACAGTTTTGCCGGTCACCATGATGGACGGGTTTATGCCAGAATCTGAACTTCCTTTCGCTGGCATCAAGCTTTCCTTGCTAAACCCCTCCCTTCTCCAGCAGGATGGCTGTAGAGTCCAAATGGATGGGTTCTATGACGGCCTTCCTGCCTGGCAGACTGGGTAAAAACTTCGGCCACACCCCTTCCTTTGGGCGTGACCCCAGTTTTGACTCAGTCTCGAAGCCTGGTAGAAGTGCGAGAAGCAGCTCTTAGGAAAGAAGAGTTTTCACAAAGAAAAGAATATCCCCTTTTTTGCAGCAGGCAGGGATCCCGGGCAGAGGAATAGAACACCGACGGACTCCCAGCCAGGATCGTCGGAGTGGTGAGAGATCGCCAGGGCGGTTAGCCAGGGGGGCTCGGGCCGGTCAGTGGATCTTCCGCGGATCCCCGACCCGCCAAACAGCTGTTTGGCGCGGGGACATTTCCCGGACCACCCGCCGGGCAGCTGAGTGGCACGGAGGCCACTCGGTCCGGCGGAGGAGCTGAGGCGCCGTTCAGCGCCAAACAGCTGAGCGGCGCGGGAAAACAGAGCGCTGATCAGCTGAGCGGCGCGAGAAGCGCAGCGCGCCCAAACCGACCGGCAGAGCCTCAGCGCCGTTTTTTCTCCCCCAGCGGAGAGGCACAGCCCCCTTAAGGACAAAAGAGCCATTCAAGCCGGTTAATTACCCTATTGCTGGCTATTAAAGACCCGCCATTGTTGGAGCCTCGTGGCTCATCCGGCTACTATTGGGAGGCGGGGCTTCCTCCCATTCGCCATTTTAAACGAGCAGTTTAGCCGCCGCTTTTTTCCTTTACATTAAGACACTTGGGCAAGAGGAAGGAAGAGGAATAAAAGATTAGAACCTCTATCAGTTCTGAGCGTGGTCTGCTACCACAGCCACAGACCGGGGGAGAGAGAGATATAAACTGTACTTTTGTCTGGACTAGGTGAGGAGGTGAGGAGGAATATTTTTTCTTTTCCTAACTGTTCCTATAGTGACCTTTAGTCACTGCCTTGCAGGATCTTCTGTCCAAAGATTCCTGTCTGTCCGGCCATTGTTTGTATAGGCAGAAGAGGGCACAGCCCCAAGCATCTGCATCTGATCTGCGTATCTCATTCCCCCCATTCCAGGCATTGCCTACTCGGGGTGTCTGGCACAATGGCAGACAATGTCTCGTATTCAGTCACACAGGTCCCTCAATTGTCCCCCCCACAGCAACAACAAAAACGCAGATCTTCTGAATCAGAGGTGGGGGGGAAGAAGAAAGGCTAAAACAAAGCACCTTTCTCAGAAGGGACAGTCCAAAACGGCTGAGCGAGAGGCTTTGAGGAGACATTTGGCTTTAGAAAGGCAAATTAGCAGAGCACAGAGAACCAATGTCAATGGGACAAATTTGGTTTCCCCTGTCCCAGGGGTGGCACCCAGCACAGAACCTACTGCCGAGGAAGTGCTCAAGACTTGGTCTCCTCCTGGGGAAACTGAACAGTTAGATTCCTCCAATCCCTCCTCACCAGCTTCTTCACCCGACCACACTCCAGCGCCTCACCCCAACGACAAGGCGCAGGAGAACATATGGTCGGCACAATTTCATGCATTCATGCAGGATGCATTCTCCCAGTTCATGGCTTCTAAGGGGCAGGTGGCCTTTCACACACCCCGTAAGGGACGGGCTAGGCCGCCCCCTACCAGCATCTCTGAAACTTCCTCTCAACTGGGAGAGGGTGACTCAGTAGACCTGGACATGTCAGACATGCCCCTCTCGGAGGACGAGGAGACCGCACCTGAGCAGGCGACAAGCTCTGGCCTCTTTAACCCAGCGCTCCTAAAATCACTCCTGATAAAGGCAGTTTCCACAGTCAACCTAACATCAGTACAGGATGAGAAGCCCTCAACAAGCAAGGAGGCCAATCCTCTATTTGCCAAAAAGGTTCCACAGGATAAGTACATCCCATGTGCGGAGGTCTTTATGACCACGCTGGAGGAACAATGGTCCTCACTTGCGAGCCCACCGGCACCTAACAGCGCGGAAAGAAAGCTTTTCAACCTATCTCCCTCCTTCTCTAACATGTTAGAGGTTCCCACTGTAGATAACCCCTTGATCTCATTATTTTCTACCTCCGCGATTCCAGGAGACATGGCGGAGGTCTTGAGACCTGAGGAGAAGAAATTTGAACACTCCCTCCGGCGTTCCCATATGGCTGCAGCCTGGGCGGCCAGAGCAGCCACTTCATCATCATTCTTCGCGAGGGCCAGTATCATGTGGCTGAGGGAACTGCAAGGCACGGTGCCTCCAGACCAGGTCAGAGTACACCAAACATTGGCCAAGCTCCTCGCGGCCTCTCAATTCGTGTCTGACGCTTCACTGTACGCAACAAAGTATGCGGCAAGGTCCATTGCGGCCACAGTGGCCTCGCGAAGGCTACTGTGGCTCAAAAATTGGAAGACAGACCTGAGGTCCAAATGGCGTCTTTCGACGTCCAAATACAGTGGAGAAGCCCTGTTTGGTTCCATTCTGGACCCACACGTCAGCGAAGGCAGAGACAAGAAAAAAATCCTAGTGCATCCATCAAAGAAGTTAGACAGGAGAGGCAGTCAGGACTTCCGGAGACAGGGCTCCCGCCCAGGAAGCCCCTGGGAATGGAGACAGCCCTTTCGATCAGGGCAATCCTGGGACTGGCCCAGAGGCTCACGATCCTTCTATCCGAGACAGGATCGAACCCAGGATCGCCAAAGCCCGGGAGCCAGAGGCCAGTTCCAGTCCAGACGCCCATATAGGGGAGCGGGAGGCAGATCCTTTAAGCGTACCAAGTGACGCCAAACAGGACACTCCCATCGGGGGTCGGTTAGGAAACTTCATCGAGGTCTGGGAGCAGACCACCACCGACGCCTGGGTCTTGGAAACGATCAGGCATGGCCTGACCTTAGACTTTTGTTCTCCCCCACCAAGCCGGTTCATCAGATGCCCCATCTCCAGAAAGGTACACAAGACGAGGCTGATAACTTCGGCCATAGCTCACCTCCTGTCAATTCAAGCCATAGAGAGGGTACCAAAGGAAGAGGAGGGAAGAGGATTTTATTCCATCCTCTTCGTTATTCCAAAGACATCAGGAGGGTGGAGAGCAATATTGGACCTGAAGGGCCTGAATCATTTCATAAAGTACAGGAAGTTCAAGATGCACTCATTGAAGTCCATCCTAGCCAGCGTCAGGGAAGACGATCTATTATCCTCAATAGATCTCACAGAGGCGTACCTACACATTCCCATCCATCCCAGCTACCGGAAATTCCTCAGATTTACCTACGCGGGCCGGCATTACCAATACAGGGCCTTACCCTTCGGACTATCTTCA